TTTGGCGTGAATTTCTGGACACCTGTATGAGGGATATTCTTTTTTAAATTTTCAGCAAATGCCTTCTATAATTTTCCATTTATAGTCGGATAAATGCTGCAAAAAGCTACTCAATCTTCACCTGCATGTCTATAAAAATTTAGTGAAGTTTATCAACTTGAGCTAATTTTACAAATAGTTCAGAGCTTCCATGTGGAACTAAAACCGAGTGCAACTGGAAAATATGTAGATTGTGATATTTGAAACAGAACGTGTAATTGTTTATTAATGAGTGAAAAGTTGTCACTATTATCATTCACATTATCAGCGAATTATTTCTGTTGCATTGGCAAGGCTGTAAATGCGAGAAGCAGATAATTCTATTATTTGTCCATTGGTTTTCTGATTTAAAGGTTATGTATAGAAATCTGGCTGCAGACAAACAGTTTTATTTGCAAAAAGCACGTACGTCTCATGAAAGCGCTGGAATATTCCATCATATAGAGTACACAGCTTCAATATAAGCTCGTCTTGAAGAATGTAATGGCGTTATCTGTGAGACTGCTGTATTCTAATGGAGTAATCCACTCCCAGCACGATCATTCCATTCAAGAATGCCTATCACACAGTCTGATGTCAGACCACCACGATCACCTGATATGTACCCCGTCGAGAATACGTGAAGTGGGGGTGAAGACCTCTGGCCCGAACTTCCTCCAAGAAATACGGATGCTCTTTGGACTCTTGGGAAGAAGATACTGCGTGGGATTTGAGGTTTCACAGCGCAACAGCCGAGAAGACGGCCATCTTAAGATACTTTGTCTCGACTTGTGTTTGGTCTCTACTCGAGTCATTGGATGAGATCTGTGGTTGAAGCTCAAGGACTTTGAAGGTGCCAGGTCTTGAAAGTAGCCCTCTCAAGGGATAATGTACATTTTGTGTAAGTAATTGGCATTTTTCGAGAAACAAATACGATTTTTCGCTCAAACGTTGCTGGACTGCGTGTGCTCTCTGTGTTATTTCTGATTGCTCTGTATGAGTTGCTGACAGAAATTTTGAAACGTGTACTTGAATAATGTACCGCCGCACAGTTTATATTTGTGGGATGTAAACCAGCAGTTAGTTGACTTTGTGCATTCTACATCTGGCTTTTGATTTACGAAGGGGTAAATCATAAACATTCCTGCAAATTCTGCATCAAATTTTAGTCACATGTCAACAGTCAACAGCTATTGCAAAACTGCGACACTGTTTTATGTAGCTGAATTCTGTACTAGTGAAAATTATGCGTATTATTAATGTTTTATAGTTATCAGTAACGAACATAGGCGTCAATAGTCCTTGAGTGTGAACTTTTGTGAATACAGGGTGCGCCAAAAATACCCGTAATTTCAAATTAGCGTCGTTTTTATGTTTACTGCGGGAAACAGATGTTTTAATTTTATTCTGTTTTGCACTTACTAATACCAAACATAATAACATTTTCATTTGATTTAGACTTTTCATACGGCAAAAGAAGGCCTCAAAACAGCTATAAATTTGTTTAAAAAAGGTTTTAAGGCAAAAACAATATCGAAGATGGTCAAAAGGTAACTTTAAACCGTCTACGATGCGATAAAACGTTTCAAGGAGCCTGGGAAAATGAGGATGTGGAAGGACGAGGACGAAAATCTTCCGCAGTTGCAAAGAGGAATATCCGGTACAGTCACAGCGAAAGATGACAAAAAATACCCGGTATCAGCGAACAATCAGTTCGAAGAATCACAAAAGAGAAGCTGAAACTCCGTTCTTACAAACTCGGAAGTGGTCATCGCCTCACGGACTCAAAAACGCCAAGAAACTTCGCCATCCAGCCGCTCCATCGTCAGTTGGCGCCACTAGGCTCAGGCAACTCGCCGAAACGTCTTTCGAGGTTTCTGTGATGGTCTGGGCCGGCATCAGCTCCTCCGGTATCCGGTACAGTCACAGCGAAAGATGACAAAAAATACCCGGTATCAGCGAACAATCAGTTCGAAGAATCACAAAAGAGAAGCTGAAACTCCGTTCTTACAAACTCGGAAGTGGTCATCGCCTCACGGACTCAAAAACGCCAAGAAACTTCGCCATCCAGCCGCTCCATCGTCAGTTGGCGCCACTAGGCTCAGGCAACTCGCCGAAACGTCTTTCGAGGTTTCTGTGATGGTCTGGGCCGGCATCAGCTCCTCCGGACCGCGGCGTCTACCAACAACGAGTCTTAAGAGATGAATTGGAGCCGTGGGCACGCAGGCGTTTCGGAAACAAACACTGGGTCCTTCAACAGGACTGGGCTCCTGCACATGCAGCGAAATCTTTAGTCAGACTCTGCAAAGAGCTGTTTCCGCAGATTTTGGACTCGCCTGATCTGAACGCTATGGACTTCGGAGTTTGGTCAATTCTGGAGCAAAATCTCCTCTTCAAGATGCGCTACGTGGATCAGCTGGAACGAGCTCTGCACAAACCCTGGAATGAAATAACCTTCGTCGATAATTTCATGAAACGTTTTGATGCTTCTATTAAATTTAAGGGTGGTCATTTTGAACATGGTTTGTAACCATTTGTTTTTGTTAAATAAAAAAGTTTGGTTTCAATTCGTTGATTATTCGTGGAGTTATGATCTCTTAACTATTCCGGGTATTTTTTGGCGCGCTCTGTATATGATATTTGCTAGTGTAAGAACATTGATCTGATGTTCCGCACTTGGAACAGTTTTATTATTTAACAGTGGATTTAAGCGATGTTACAGTTTTGAACACCAAATTTCATGTGAGAGCTACGCATGTCATATATCCGACGCGGCTGTCCCCTGAAAGCCGAAGTCACGCATTGAATTTCAAACCCCAAAAATGTACAGACAAGAAAATTAATGTTGCCTGTCGCGAAGGCCTCCATGAAATAGCCGTTGTACCTGCGTTTCAAAAGAATATTGTTGCCATTAAATTCCAGTATGGCTACACACATGGATTTTGTTTGTTTTTTGTGAGAACTGCTAAACAGGGAAGTTTTCACAATTACGAGCCATGTCATTTAAGTTGTTTGTTGGGTAATAATTCTTTAGGCAGAAACATGACCGTAGACTTGTAAACTTTGTTGTAATTTGAAATATTCAGAAGACTGATCAACCTTATTAGCTGCCAGCGAGGAAGGTGGTCATGTTTCATCGTTACACAACACGAAGAACTTATTATCATGCCTTGTGGTTTATTCTCGAGAACTGACATTTCGGTGTGTTAACTTTATTTGGTATTATGTGAAGTACTAAGCGTTTGCCACTTATGAAGCATTTATGTGACATAATTCACAAGCCTTGACAGATATTTATGCTAGAATATACATGAATCATTACTTTAAATTATCTAAATAAATACCTTGGTAAATTGCTTTTAAATTTTCAGTGTTTGCTTACAGATACATGTTCTATACTTAGTTTCTGGAAAGTTCTTGTAAATTCTCTGTTAATTCTGTGCTTAGAATTTCTTTTTTTCTTTTCTTTTTACCAACAGGAGTCTTTTGCAGTACATTGATGAAGAACTTATACTCAGGTACTGTAATAGATTTTTTAAAACTTATTCCTCTTGCTACTGTAAATATATTGGAATAGTTCAGAATTAAGATGAACATCATCCTGTGCGTTTGTGCGCGTGCATGCGCGCTACTCATGTATGAAGAGAGTGCATGTTGTAATTGCTTCAGAATGTGAGAAGAGTTTTCAGTGTCAGTTATCATGTAATATGTAACTTTAATTTAAGTCATTCATGATATCGGAAACAACATACAAACTTCGACAGTTGAAATAAGAATTCACATCTTTCTAAAGTAAAAATTATGCACTGAACTGAAAGTTAAATGTGTTTAAATACATTTCGAAAAGAATGTGATATTAATTCTTTGAATTGTGTACTCTGGAAGTTTCTTTAGAATATTCTCATTGTATTTTCCATTTTTGTGATATCAGTGAAGGAATGAGAGTTTCAATTTCATGTTGTTCTATCATGTTTACTTACTGTTTTATGAACATGTTCTTCTTGCGCTCGTCATCAAATCCCTGTCTTGTGTGCATTGTTAAGAGCCAACAAGTTGCATGTTGTATTTTCAAAAAAACAAAAACATTTATTCCTTCACTTTGCTATGTGAGTTTGTAGAAAAAGTTTTTATGACAAGACCATCTAATTAACCCAGCTACTGGAATCTTATTACTTGTGATCTCTACATGTCTCAATTTCTGTATTTGCTGAAACTTCTTTGGTCACCTTAGCTCCTCACACATGTGCCCCTTAAAATACATTTTCCTCAGTCACATCCTCATTGCCATTTTGATAGCTCACTGTTCTGCTGTACCAATCAGATCCATCACATTCCACTCATCGCCTACTGTCTTCCCCTTCTTAGGCTCTCACAGACCACCCAACCAACATATCCTGAAAATAGCAATCGCATTGTTTGCCAAAATTTTGGATAACTTTCACCGTTCAGAGTTTTACATTGATTCTGAATGTGAAATTTCAAGGTGAAGACCTAATAACAATTGTAGAATTTGGTTTTATACATAACTTTGGTCATTTATTGTAACTGGCATGTTATAAAAATGTGTATGTAATTTAGTATTGTGACACTAACCTTATCTATTTATGAAATGAAGCGTGTCCCTCGTTGATTTTGTGATTCTCTTCAGCTCCGAGACTTTAAATTCTTCCTGTAGCCGTGCACAACTCAACTTTCATCAATGCATCTTGCCTATGAACTTGCAGTGTGTCTAGTCTTGTAGGGTTCATGTTTGGTGGTGATGGCCTATTATAATGTAGGAATATTATTTATTTATTCTTCTGTCCTTAACACACGCCCATCCCTTCATTTGCAGTCATAGTCACATTCGAAAAATTCTGTAATGTTCTCGTAATCCATAAAATTGTATACTAAGATTATATTATCTTCCCTGTATCAGACTTTGAATTATATATGTTTGGATTGTCTGAGACAAGTGCATGAAGCCTTTTCATTCTAATTGCTGAATCACTAGTAGAAGCTGTTCTTTTCCTCATTTGTACTGCAGAGATGTTATGTACTCAAATGTTTTTTATCCACCAGTTATGTAACAGGAGTGGAGTTATGATTTGAATGAAGATTGTGTGGTCACAGTAAGCTAGCATGTGCGACTCCCTGTTAACTGTTTCGGCTGTACTATCACATGGGCCTTTCCTGTTGAATATTGCATAAACGTACCATTAAACAGTGACACGAAACTCACGGAATTGGGCTGATGAAATTCTTTCTGTTTTTATACTAAGCATCAGATCTGTCTGTAGGGGAAGTAACGTACAGTTTGGTTTGATTTGATAACTTTTATTAGGTGCTACTGATAAGAATGTGTAGCTGCTGTGTCATGAGACACATTTTCTGTGAAATTACCTCGTAACTAGCTTGGCTTGTTGAAAAAAATCACAAATTGGTGAATTGTGGCTTGGGAATTATTTCAGTGAAATGGCTGACTTCATCTGGCTGAATAAAAGAATATTTTCAGTAACATTGCAGCAATATGTTTATTTGTGTTAAGGGCTAACTTGAGTTAGTTTTGGAAAGTTCACTGTTGTGTTGCGATTAATGAGTGAATTGCATGGCAGAACCTATGATTCTTCAAAGAAAATGGCCAAAAATTCTTTTGTTCAATGAATAATAGTATCTAATGTTGATCTGTATATTGTTAACCATTGTTATATGTTACTTCGTCAATTGCATTTCATTCAAGCAAATCTGCAAGTTTTTGTTTCTCTCTCTCCCCCGCTGGGACAGTATTCACAGTAACTCAAGTGCCATTCTGGTACTTCAGAATTACATACGATAGGATATGATGGTCTTTGTAGGAAGTTATCCCAGTACTGGACACAGCTGTAAGTTCCTACACTTTGCTTTCTATTAACATTAATTTTGCATTTTGATGTGTGCTGCATGAGCACTGCATGCTCCAGGTGTAACTATATATTTGTTTACACTTTGAAAAACACTTAGTGCCAAATGCGTTTCGACCTCAAGAGGTCGTCATCAGTGGCAAAAACATTAATTCATTAGTCTGTCTATTAAATCGTACAATTCATAAGACAATGTTTTGTTGTAAGGCACTGAGCGTACTGTTGTATGAAATGCGAAATTATGATGAAAGTGGAGTAATTCTTGGGATGCCACGGAGAAACCGGGGAAACCCCGGAGGAAAACTCCCGTGTTCTCATTTAATAGAATTTGATTCTGTATTTGGTATAAACTTTACCAATTTGTTTCACAGTACTTATTAAATTTATCATCCACAGTTGAATGGGTCTTGAACTTTTTCCAACATGTGAATGTCTTTCTTCATTAAAATGATTATAACAAAAATCTTTTTACTCACACTTACCATTTGCTATAAAATATGATGCACTTCACATTTAAATAGAATGTATACTTATTGTTCAAGCATGTCAAAACAAATCTATTTCTGAAATTCAACACGCCATGTTCTGCATTTGTTTTGCTATCTGCGGGGAAACTAATTAGACTCTCTTTAAATTATTTAAACTTGTCCTACAATCTGTTGAGAGAAAGCCTAGCAAAATTTTCATGAAGCCCTACTTCTACATGCCATGTCCTGTGGGTTTTTTTTTTTTGTAACCAGCTAACAAAATATTTAATTCTCTGAAATGTTTTAGAGGTCTGCTTTCAAAGTGCAATAGAACACTGATTATCTGGGGCCCACTTATACATGGCATGGATTATCTGCGATCTCGGATTGTCTCTAATATGTAATTATATTTTTATTGACTGCTCACAGAATCAAACGAACACTATGAACGTTCTGTAAAAGAAATTCTTCAAGACAGAATGTTTAGTTTTTCAACATGAATATGTATGTTTTTACATACAGATATGTAAAGTTCCTATTTTGCTTACATTTATGATGATAATACTAATAAAATATATTGTAGTATCTAAAACCTTCATTGTATGTGATGCAGGTATTAACATGTAACATTTATTTTTGGGGGGAATTTTTAAATTGCGGTTATCGGAAAATTTAAGGTCAAATTCAAAATTTAATGAGCTTGAACTGTTTTGTTATGGTAATGAAATTCTATCATACATCATTTTAAAGTTCATTGCTAGCGCTTCAAAACAAATCCAATTCCAGCTCTGCGTGTCAAAGTAGAACCAGTTAGGATCAGATTTATGAATGTTCGTAAGGCAAATTTTCTCAGTTTTTTAAAGTTTTAAATGGCAGTATCTTCTAAATAAGTGAAATAGAATTATGAAAGTTTGCACACATTTGTTTCTAATTGGTTATAGTACGTGACCTAAATTTAATTAAAATCAGAGTGGTTAAGGTTGTAAACTGTGTTGATTTGAGGTGGATGGTGCTACTCGTATGATCATATATGTGGTACTTCTGTTTTACTTTCCCCTCCCATAGTTTATGATTTACTGAAATAAAAGTGTAAAAATACTTTCATTTCATCTTATTTCCTTTTTTTTTCCTCAATTAGGGGAAACCGAGTACACCAACTGTCTGCACAGGAAGATTTGTATTCACAACAGTAAGTAGGTTATGTAAGATTTGAAGCGTAGATGATGAATAAATGAACCAGAATATGTTTGGGTGATAACCTAATCAGAGTTGAGTTGAAACCCTTGTTTTGAAGGCCTCCTGTCTCTTCATTGTCAGGGTTGAACATATACTGATGATTGGGACAGTGCATGTCTTTGAAACACTGACTTTAAATCAACTTGCATGTGGCTAAACACCCAAGAGGATTTCGGTTTAATAAGTAGGTTAATTACTTCCTGTGCACATCAGTTGATCTGCACAAAAGAGAGAGTTGGGCTCAATGTTATTGCCATCATAGTTTGGAATTTTGTAGACCTGTATATAGATTTTTTATTTATATGACTTAAATTTAAATTTAATGGGACAGTGGTGTTATAGAACAGAAGAATCATACTGTTACACACATGCGCACTCCCACACCCATGCGCGCACACCACACATACAGACACTTTTGTAATGGTATAAATACTAATACAAACAAAATAACAATAGCTTATACTTAAAAAATGTTTCCGAAACCTCTTTGGGATATTGCACCATGTACTCTTGTAGATATTAACCAGTGTTTTATAGCGTATTGCCTCCATCATCAACCATCTGCTTACTTGTCCCCATGTGAATCCCAAATCTTACCTGGATAATGAATTTGGTAACTTGTTCTCATATTCTTGTTTTTATGTTGTTTTTTTTGTTTTTTTTTGCATGCAGGTATTATGCTGAAGTGGCATGTTCTGGATATTGTTGTTGGTGTGTCATTCATAGATGCAATTCAAGGAATTTGAATTATTTTAATGGTAGCCTTGCTAGTTCTGACCAGTTTCCCTTTAAACTTATGTTGCGTTCTATTCTACTGTATGTTTATATATAAATATCATATTTTCACAAAAAGACATCTGGGAACAAGATTTGTTCAATTTTTGTTTTGAAAATTGTAAAATGTTCACATAATATCCTGTTGCAAGTATTTTACCAGAGAAACATAACATTCTTCCTTACTCTAATTAGTGAGATATTGTCTTTCTCTGCACACATAGAAAATGTCATTATATTAGCCCAAGATGTGCTATTTGAATATCTGTATGCACAGTCAAGGGAAAGCAAATGTATTCTGATTTATTCAGTTACCATTGGCAAAAATCTTATCAAGGAACAAGGTCTAGGTCTCCCCAGCGGTCTCCTGCCATCAGGTTACTCATCCAATACCCGGTGCACACCTCTTGCCCCATCCATGCATGCCACATGCCCCGCCCATCTCATTCTTCTTGACTTAATCACCCTGACAATATTGGGGGAGGAGTACAGATTTTTATAATTACTTTTAATGTACAGTGTACACCCTTTTAGCAGCAAATATACTTCTGTTTTCTGATCTTTCAGAATCACTCTATATATGTTTTATCAATTTTTATTGTAGTCATGTGTGAATACTTGAAATAATTAAATTTTGGAAAGCATAATGCAGCATGTGCTGTTGTTTCAGGGCAACATTGCCAGTTGGGGACTCTGCAAATTCAACTAGTCATGAGCGCCAATGTGACATTCACAGAGGCATCAACTACTTCAGTCATGTTTCAGGTAATCATCTGCACAATGTTCATGTTATTAGAGCATAGACAAAGTGAGATAACTATTTTGTTTCTGTATCTGACCATGCACGAGAATAAGTAACATTTATTATGTATGGCAGTATACGTACATTTAATATTATAAAGGGAGATGAGTTTGTCATGTGTTACAGTGAATAGATATGTCAGTTTGATAGATAGTGTGTTGGGATCCACATTTGCACAGCTGTGAAATTGTCATATCTTATTCTGCTTTATTAGTAAAATTTATTCCTTTAAACTAACAAATATGTTTAGGCGATTAAGCACTTTGTATATGAAATCATATTTCTGCTGTTAATGGAGCTATTGTCACTTGGCATTATACAATCTGTATGTTTATTTGAATGTGAAAGAATGTTTAGTTTCAGAAGTTGAACTGTTTCAATGTCACTGTGTAGTGTATTTATCCCCGCTTTTGTTCGAATGTGAAGGCTCTTTACTATATTCACAAGAGCCCACTATCATTTCCCTTCCTCAACCACATGAATCCAGTCCACACCCTCCCCTCCCTTCCCACCCTTTTTCAGAGCATTCTTACATTATGGTGGGATTCTTAGTTAGGTTTACTGTGAACATGATCCTACTTTGGTGGTTTGCTCTGACTTGGTTAGTAATGTAATTCACAACCCAAATGCATGACATCCTGCTTCAGCAAAATGTGTGTTGCTGCACTTTGCTTGTCCATGGAAAATGTTAATGGTGCATGTGATAGAATCATCTGTCTGAATCCTCTCTGTTTGCTTGTGTATCATTTTGGAATTATGGGTTTGTGTAATACTTCTTTTTTTATTGTTCCAGTCCCATGAACACTAGAGTTTGGTAGTTGTCGTAATATCATGATAAAAAGTCTGTGGTATAAAAGAATAGGACATATCAATTTTATACATTATCAGAATTAATAAACACTGCAAAATATTCTTATGTCAATTTTTTGTTTTAGGAAAGTTTTTTTCCAATTGTTTCAAAATTTGTGGAATTAAATATGTCTTGGCTTTTTCGATGTCATTTTAATGTCAGAAACATAAAAGCACATACTGTTTTTATGACAATAATTAAATTATCTCAGTGCAGAATTTAGTTACACAAAGTGCTTAAAAATAATACTTGTTAAGTTTGTGACTATAAAAAATATATTTCTGTGGATTGTGGTCTTCTGGGTTATGAAACTTGTAGACTGCACAGTGTCACAACCCAGAAGTCCATCATTCACATTTTAAGTGCCGTGAAAGTCTGAAATTTCATCAATATGCTATATTCTTTTTTGAAGGACCTGTCTGTAGAGTTCACGTTTGGTACGAGGTTTCTACTGAACATATTTAATGTGGTGGGTGTGGTTTACTTGGGTTCCTACATAATTCAAAGTGTTATAAGAGCAGTTCTTATGAAAATGAAGCATGACAGCTTATATTAAACGATTACATTATGCCTAATAATATACAAGGCCTTGTAAATGTCAATGATGCCGCTAGCTTCCATGACAAGTGTTGCACCCTTCAAAGCACCAGCAATGCACCTCAGTTTTAAATTAATCAGCACACATGAATGTTAAACATACTGCATGGCAGGATGTTGATTATAAAAGTATGAAGACACATTAGTATATGGATTGGTATTTCATTTGAAAGTTCACTTATTTATCAGCTGCTTTTAATTAAACTCTTTGCTTTTGATTATGTATTGTGGTTAACAGCAATATTAGAGACTTTACCAGCACTCATTTACAGACATTCAGAAGCATTTGTGGAATTGAAAATCTTTGCTCTATCGGTCTCCTTTAATTAGACAAAGTAAAGAGAAGTAGAAAAAATATACTTGCTGAAACATTGTGACTGTGCTGAAAAGTAATGCCTCGATTGCTTCTCTAAGTGATGTGAACTAAAACTCATTCAGTTAGGCTTTCGTGCACTTTGTGTGAAGTTTCATACATCTGCAACTAGACGCCTCTGAATTACACATATGCAAATGGTGCGGTATAAGGAGAGTGTCAATGTGGACTAACCTTGTGTGAAATGATTCAGCTTTTGACTGCAGAAAATGTTCCACCGATTGACATTCATCAGTGCATACAAGTTGTTTGTGCAAATGATTATGTAGACATCGGTAATGTTTGATGCTGGGCTGCATGTGTCCTTGCTTCAAGCCTCGGACATCCCAACATGAATGACCGGCAGCATAGAGGGAGACCATGAATAGCAACCTGTGAAGCTCGCCTAAATTATGTTGATGAAATAATCAGTGTTTCTTGGTGTCAATAGCCACCAAAATTGCAGTTTCATTGTAGTTTCATTGTAGTGATTGCAGGGAGTAATTGCTAATCCTGAGTACCAAAAACTGTGTAACTGATAGATTCAGCGAGTGCTCACTGAGGAATTGAAACAGAAGTGGATGGACATTTTCCAATGGTTGCTACAATATAACTGTGAAGCCATCATATTCTTATAGAACATTGTCACCAGTGATAAAAACTAGTGCATGATTTGGCACCGAAAAACAATAGACAGACAATGTGATTCCATCACAAAGGTTCACTAGCGTAATTCTTCGTCTTCTATGGCGCAACAGCCCAAAGTCGAGCCTTGGCCTCCTCCCACGTGAAAGGTTTCTTTGTCTTTTGATGTGTGCATTTGTGAGTAGTGAGTGACCAGCCCACTGCCTCTGCACAATTTCTACTCAATCCTGATTTGTCTGCTAGAGCCATCTAGTAGTGAATCAGGAGAGGCTTGGGTGAGAAATGGCCGCTGGATTTTGCTTACGAAACATCTCGATCATGCTCAGGAGGTTCTTTTGCATGCCATAAATCTACGACATGGGACCACCGGCTTTACTTCCCCTCCGAAGGAAGTTGTGCAGCTGATTTTTAACACCTTTAAAAATCCATCGACCTCGGCCAGTTTTGAACCCGTGAACCTTGGGTCCAGTGTCAAGCACGCTAACCACTAATAGTCCACTGAGGGCGACCAGTAGCGTTTTGAAGTTCATAAGTACATCTTCTGCTGGAAAAGTCATGCCCTCTGCTTCCTGATGTGTTAACGATGTAGTGCATTCAGAATTTATGCCTCATACCACCACCATTAACTCTGAGCACTGAATTAGAATTATGCAAATAGTGTAGGCATGTTTTCAAAAAGTTCATGCTGACACATAGCAGGATTCTCTGTGACATGACAATGTAAGGTCTCGCACAAGCACACAAATTTCTGCAGAGATTCGCCACCGTGGATTCACTGCTTTGGACCATCCACCATAGAGCCCAAGTTTGGCTCCATCTGACTGCTGTCTCTTCGTGAAACTGATAAACCATTAAGAGGACTTCCATCACTTCTTTTCAAAGAATGAAGTCAAGACAGTAATGATGATGTGGTTCCATCAACAAGACACAGTTTTATCATGACAGACGCAGAAAACAACCGGAATTTTGGTGGAAGTGTGTGGACCACGGATGATTATGTAGAGAAGTAATTGTATAAAATTAAAGAAAATAAAATTAGGAGGCATTACTTTTCAGGATACCATTTTATGTTTTAAATCAAGGTGAATCAAGTTGTTGCGCTTGAACATAATAGTTTTGTTCATTGTATAAAATTATGATCCAGTTTGCTTTCTTTATTTCTTGATTTTATTTTCAACTTCAGCCATGAAACAATCCATGAAGACTTATTTTAACAGCTAAATTTCTTCAGTGTCTTTTGATAACTGGATTTTGATTTGTTGCTTGTGAAGATGCATGATATTCCTTATTTACCTTATTTACAAAGGATACAAATTTACTGTCAGTCTTTAGACATAATTAATTTAAATTAGTGTTACAAGAATAGGTATAATTTATTAAGGACAGAGTTTCTGTGGATGGTATTTCATGAAGTTCTTCTGCCAATTGAAGAAGCCCATGTATTTGTCCAAGCAAGTTCATGCTGAATGTTATGAATTATCTTCTGTATAATTGCTGCTTCTATAAACAAATTTTAAGACTGAATAAGTATTGGTCTTTATTCACTAAAACTTGTGTTTTAGTGGTACAGGGACTAGCTTCTATAGTTCATTAAAATCATTTGTGTTGAATCTAAGCAAATGGATCTCAAGTACCTTCACTGATAGCTCTGTCCTACAAAACATAAATTTAAAACTTGAAGAAGCTGTACAAAATACCTGATTCTTAAGTCACGTAGGTTATAAAGTGTGTGTTGTGTCTTTGTAGAAGGTTAAATTGGACAGTATCAAATTTACAGACACTATTGAAATGTCAGATTGGAATGGTCTACTCTTTTCATATCTCATTTGTATTTTGCAATTAGTTACGATTTCTTTATGGGTTGACTGGCACAAGATATGTTTCTGATAGTATGAGTGACTGTTTCATCTGGACATTATTATGTGTGATCTTCTGATATACTCACAGTTTTAATTGGGTATTCTTTATGCTGAAACATGAGAAAAAACATGATATGGGCCTGTTCATGTCTGTCTGTCTGTCTTTATCTTTTATTACATTGTTAGAACAGTGATCTTGTCTCACACTCTTATAACAATTACCTTGGATAAAATTGTTGTCTTTGGTTGTCCTGCTGAGATCATTGACCATAATGTGGTGTAAAGAACACCTTTGGAATTTTAGTGCACTCCAAAATGTATACCTTTCCAATCCTGTTATCTTTTATGAATGTTTTCTTGATTATGCTCATTCAGAGCCAAAATGAGAAAGTTGTGCTATATTTACTCAACTTATTGTATTGTAAATATCTTAATTAGTTCATTTGGAAGACATTGTAATTTAACATGACTGAAGCTCCATAGATTTACTGTGTAGGATGTTATTTGCAGTCGACCTTAATCTAAACATGGATAAATGTACAAACATAGAATGAGTTAATTCTTCCACTTGGTTTTGAGGCTGAGTAGAGGTATAAGAAGTATACGTTGTGAAAGGGAAGGATTTGTGTTTGTGCTAGTTTTAGTACGCCTTATAATTTTGATTTTTAAAGTTAAACTTGTCTTTCAGTTTTCATTCATTTGACACGTGTTTGTATGTGGTCCATTCAGAAATTACTGGCAGTACTGCAACAGCCTGTCTTCACAAGTGTGTGCGTTAATTTTTTTATGGTGGTTTGAAGCTCTAAGTGTCGTGTGAAACTGTCCTAGAAACATGTTCATTCAGGAAGTATGCGCAACAGTGCTTCATCAAACTCCAGGTTGTATGAGGGCAAAATGCATGTCTGGTCTGTGTTAAATAAGATTGCAGGAAGTCTGTGGACCATAAGGCCATCCACACATACTGTGGCAAGATTAGGGGTGCCTATCCTTTTTGGCTTCATGCAATCTGGATTTTGATGAAGAAGTGTTGCTCGTACTTATCGTACGTGTTTATAGAGTCATTTTGCGTGATATGTAACGTCTCACATCGCTCAATATACTCGTAACAACACTTATCACACAATTGTCAAAGCAGATTGGTGCCTGTGGCATGGACGACCTCACAAGAGCTGCTTCCTGCTTATGGCATTATGGACACTGCACTATTGCAGTATTGGAAATAATTTTTGATGTGTCTCATATTGTATGTATATGATTTATGGATTTTTCTTGCAAGAGATGTTTGTGACACTTTCCCCTACAAATATTAGAAGTTTAAAATTGCTTCTCAACATCCTGCCTTCTCAAGAGGCTTAAATTATTACATAACTATATGTTAATTACCCTCCATTACTCAGGGGCGGGAGGTTCCCCAAGAAGGCATAGTTCAATGGATGAAATGTTTGGACTAGTGGCAACATTGACATTGAATGGCCAGCGTCAACGATCTCTTAGTGATAGTGGTGCAACCGGCAAGGACACTTGCACCAGTGGTAAGTGCAAGTATGAATTTACAACTGAACTGTCAAGTTAGGTACCAGTATGGCAATTAGGGGAGTGTAATATGTTAGTAGTCGTACTTTAGTTAAAATGACAGATAGAAATAAGTAATGCTCATGATTGCTGTCTTTTGAGTTGTTGCACTGTAGTCTGGTAGATGTTTACTTATGTATCAGAGGTACTTTCTACCTTCATCATCATTGCCCTAATGATGGAGGTGACAGGCACCTCTGAAACGCTGCTGAACTTCTATCAGACTACATGGCATAACAACCCAGATGACAACCGTCTTCGTACTTGCCACTGTGAAAACCTGAAATCTCATAAATAATCATGTTTTCTTTGTTTGAATGTTATTTCTTTCAAGGCAGTTGACACACAGATATACCATATAGCAGTAATGTGATGGAAATTTAAAGAAGTTGGAATTTTTTTTTTTTAAATGGTTGAGCGGTTAAGGAAGTACCAGTATATGTGCTGGGTCGGTTGGATAACTGTGAAGTCAAATTTAATTTTCTTCATTCTTGTCATTGTGTTCTTTTTGATATTAAAAACCAATCTCTGACATCCTTGAAATTAATTAATTTACTGTCTACCTGTCTAGTCCCAAAACATTTTCTGGTGTCTCAGTAAATTCCATAATGACTCACATATAAATGAAGGTTTTCATTATCATTGAACTTGTTCAAATTGTATGTAACTTTTTATATAATATTAATACATTTATATTATCATCTTAAAAACAAAATCTTATATTATGATATGACATTTCTCATAAATGGTTTTTTCAGCTGCTGCTAAATTTGATAGTAAAAGTTTATATTGTGGCAGAACGTGCTTCCTTTTCTAATATAAAGACATTTTAAATTAAGTATTTAAATGTGCATAAATTATAAATTCTGTACATTTTTATATGATTTCACAAAGTATTTTGATTTGCGTTATACGCTGGAACTTGCTATAGAAGTTTCTTAAATATTCCCAGTCTCGTGAAGAACACAGTTCCTCAGACTGGGACTTGAGTCCTTGTCAGTTGTTCATCTCTATAGCAATTATACACAGGTTCTATATCAGTAACTAATTGCATTGATGTACACATACATGAGTCAAGAAACTTGTACCATAATATACGCACTTTGATCTTAATCTGCATAGCTTGTAACTGGTACAAATTTGTCTTTAATTTATACCAGAAGGTGCTGAAAATGTGTGCCCTTAATGTGTAGACATTTTCAGTATGAGTTTTTAATGTGTTAAATTTTTCTGGCATTAATTTGACATAATGCTGTGATGAAACACAGCTTGTGCCTTTGTAGTTCTAGCTGTGTTCAGCATTCAGGTTTGCTGTCTCCTCTTTTGAGCACAACAGGTAGAAAGGGAGCAGCATGTATTAAGTATGCTGCTTCTGTGTTAAGTGATCCTTTCGAGTTTATCTACATTGAACATATGTATATAATAAAATATTGCCTCTGAACTGGGGGATTTTGTTAATTTGTGCTTCAGAAAATTGAAAAGTAGTAATACTGAAAACTGCAGAAAAAGTATGAAGATTTTGTAGGAAAGTTGAGACATTACTTTTAAAGTTAAAGTTCAGTCCAAGATCTGAGTTGCACTTTTAGATATGTAAATATCTTTCAGGTGATGGGTTGGGTTCTGGCCCAGAACCTGACCTTCTCTCTGACACTCCACCAGTACCGCCTAGACGAAGGGAGAAGAAACGGCATACTCCTCCACGGCCTGTCAGTAATGGACTTCCTCCAACCCCAAAAGTCCACATGGGGGCTTGCTTTTCCAAGGTAAATGATTTTGTTGCATGGCTAGATGATGGAAGGATTTTTCTTCTTTGTAAAGCCTAAGCAGGGCACGTGGTGTAGTGGTTTGGGGTACTTTCCTTCTGCCTCAGAGAGCTTCAAAGATTCCCAGGCCTTACAAAATATGTTGGAAGATATCTTCAGGATCCCATTGACTATTTACCATAAACTGCTACAGCACAGCCCTTAAAAAGAGTGGAGGTTCAACAGTTGTGGCCATGATGATAAATACTGAGAAGATTAAATGTTAACCCACATCATACATTATGCTATAAATTAAGTGTAAAATAATTGTTGTTGTAGTTATAAAGTCTCTAGTCACCCTCATGAGTAAATCATCTCAGAAATAAACATTGTTATAGTATACAGTAATCCCCACTTAACATACCCCATACAAACCTTTTCCATTCATTGTACAAGAACCCATTATGGGTTGGTCATGTCTGTGTGTCCATCCGTCTGTCCAGTCAGTTCAACTTGAGAACCACTGGATGGATTTGGATGAAATGCGATTTGGAGGTTGTGCCATTCTGCATGACCTCTGAATCATACTTTTGAATATCCTATGAATGGTGACAACAAAATGGCAGATTAGAAAATTCATGAGGTTGACACTGAGGTGTTGTGATCTGGTGGCCATAGTGGGAATTTATTTACAATGGTTACTAATGGTGACCACTGTTATGCGATCTTTGAATGTTCACCATTTTTACTGTGGTAATCATGGATCATATTGATGTAAGGGAAATCAGCCAAAGTGTTTGTGTATGTTCATGTTTTTTGGGGTGAGGGCAGGTTAGGTTAGAAAAGGTTGGGAGACGTTAGTTTCAGTTATGTAAAGTTAGGTTAGGTTAGGTTAGGTTAGGTTAGGTTAGGTTAGGTTAGGTTTGTTTAGTTTCAGTTAAGTATGTTTAGATTAGGATAGATGTTTAAATATGAATTTTAAATGTTGGATTTTCGAATGTGGGAATTGTAAATACAAATGTTCCCTGGTATTTGAATTTTATTGCATCTTTATATGTGTTTGTATTTTTTAAGTTTTCTTCCTTAGCACAGTGTATTATTTTTACAAATATTTCACACCAATATTTTTTCGTATTTGCATTGTGTTGGCTATGCTAATACCTGAATCAACTAAACAGCACTCTCAGAGTTTTCTTTTGATAAAATGGCAAAGCAGTTGAAGTGTATAAGATCCAAATTAACTGTCAGAAAGTTAGGACTATTAACTTCATTTCTTATGCATTTATTCTTTATTGTCGTAGGCATGACATACTTTTCAGTGGGTCATATTGGAACACCATCACCTAAATACAAATTTGTGCCATGGTGTGTACATTATTTCTACCTCTTTTCCTGCTGTTGAAGGATCTGCCTTGCTCCTGTAGTGTCGGACAGTCATGAGTTAAGACCAGGGCTTTGAATCAAACTGCATAGTTTTACCGTACCTGGACATAGAGTGAATCTTGAAAATTAATTAAAACTGAACCGTCAACCTGAACTAATAATATCTTAAGAACCAGTTTGGAATTTATCTAAAGCGCTTCATCTAACATTGTGATAAAAAAAAAAGTAACATGTCTCAATTCCTTCTTGGACCTGTTTCAGCTGGAAGTATTCAAGAAACATTGTAAAATAATGTAATCTCTGAAACACTCTTTTTCTGGTATCTCTGCTTATTGTTGATGCTGTTAGCAGCAATTGACTAGCCAAGGGAAGAGATGAGTCTTCTTTCAGAAAAGATTTGTAAGTGAGATGTTATGTTGGACAGATTTAGAATAGACTAATACAATAAATACAAATGTTCTGTGGAGTGTGGCAGTATTGGTTGACCGCAACATTAATGAATCGCTGTAGAAGTAGTGATTTGGGCAAAGCTTTGTGAGATGCTGAAATCAACAGTCCTTTTTTTCCCAGGTCCAACAAAGAATAGACTAAATGCAGTAAACATAAATGGTGGTATTTCTTGACTAATGATTAATGAATCGTTATTGTGACTGCCAGTGTCGTTAAATTTCTGTGTTAGGCTGCTTTTTTGTGCTAAGGAGTACCAGTGAGTTAAATCATTGTTTGTCAGTTGTAACCAAGTGAGTGACTAGTATTAAAAACAAAATATAGGAAATATCTTTTTAACATCATTGTTCAATTCTTTTGTAAACTGGGTTTAAATTTTGTGCCTCCACTTAAGCCTAGGAACAAGTTTTTTAACAAATTGTTAATATTTTTTAGGCAAATCTTGCATTGCTAGCAAATGTATTTGTGAGACTATGTGTATGCTAGTTTGACTAACCATGAGACTGGAAATTAAACTAATTAGCATTTCTAATAATTCCATTAGCTATGTTTTAACTATACAGTCACCCGGTTCAGCCCCCAATTTAGTATGATAGCTGTAAGCACTCCGGTTTGGTAGTATTTGTGAAACGATAAAATAATTGGATAATGCCAAAATTTGGCGTGGCTTTGTCTTGAAAATGGCTACACGTATTTACTAGCAAGCTGTGATATCAAAAACAGAGTTTTTGCTCTTTTAGTTGGTGTGTCAAATACTACAGTGTTGTTGTTGTTGTTATTTCTTTGTCTTGTTATCATAGCTTATTCTTTTCCTTGTTATGTGCGGTGTTCATGGTAAGGCTGTTTTTATGCAGAGAATTTATTGAATGCTTTCCTGATATGTTTTCAGATATTTTTTACTTATTTAGCTGCAATTCCCATGGCCTCAGTGATTCCTGGTGTGTCAAAGCATTTCATATTCCACATTTGCTGAATTCCCATACTTACATTTCTGTATCTAATTTATTTTTGGTCTCAATTACATTTCAATTCAATTCTATTGCTGTATGTATCCATAAGCAAATTTTACCTTTCTTGTTTTTATAAAAGATTTGTGATGAAATTAAAAGCAGAATTCATTCGGGGAACGCTTGTTTTTACTCAATTCAAAAACTGTTATCATCTCATTTACTGTCCAAAACTCTGAAGATCAGGATATGTAAAACAATAATTTTTCCTGTTGTTTGGTATGGCTATGAAACATGGTCTCTTACTTTGAAAATTACAGGTGTTTTGAAAACGGTGCTCAGGAAGGTATTTGGACCTAGGAGGGATGGAATAATCGGGGAATTTAGAATATTACATGACAAGGAGCAGTGTGAAGTGTACGGGTCACCTGGCATAGTGAGGAGGCAAGGGGTGCATATAGAATTTTGGTAGGGAATCATGGAAAATGACCACTGGGTAGACCAAGAAGGAAATCTAAGGATAACATCAAGATGGATCTTAGGTAGGCGGGATGTGAGGGTGGCAAATATAGTTGGCTCAGGATCGTGGCCGGTGGCGGGCTTTGGTGTTGTCGGTGTTGAATCTGCGGGTTCTGCTACCAGGGAGTTTGTTAGTTGTGTCTGGGGTATTTTCCATAACCCCTTGATTCCACTATACTGTTATATCGTCCTGTTCACATACTGACATCAGTATGAGTAGTATTTTTCTGTGTTTCAGTGCCCATTGTCTTGCGGGTTGAGTAATGTATATGCGTAGACTTTATTGTGTATTTCTATATATTCATTCTTAGCCAGAATAGGAGATCCTGGTGGTAGGTGTTCAATGGTTCCTTCGTATTCTTTTACACGGTTGGCATCTACGTCCAATTTCTTCTTTCACAATTTTTCTCTCAGTGTAATTTGTACCGATTGCCTGATCCCTGCCCTGCCGCAGTTGTACCTTCTGTTTCTCCCTTAGTGTCTTGAGTATATTGATATTCAGTTGGTTTTCTGTCCTGTTTAACTGTAAGTAATAAATGTAATGCCCACAACTGACAAGCGTAATCCATGTTAAAACATTCCTATACTGATCAGGCTGAAATAGTAGTAACATGGCTGGCTTTTTCATGATTTTCGTCGGTCATTCTTGGCAAATGTTGGGTTAGTATTTTGAAATAGGCTACTACCATTTCATTCCCAGTCCATTCCTGTTTTTCTCCATAAATGATTGTCTTCTCATCGCATTTGACATTGTGTCCTCTTGCAGTTGGAACAGCACCATCATCAAATTTACAGATAAATTAGCACACAACATAATTGCAGTTGAAGTGAGCTCTAAGTATTCCATGTTACTCATTAGGTGTTCAATGGTTGTCCTCTACGTATCCACTGCACTGCAAGCTGGATCCACCCAGACACAAGAGACCAGCATATACTCATAGGTGCTGAGGAGGGTATCTACAACCTTAACCTCAATGAACTCCATGAAACTGCTATAGATCAACTTTATCCACGCAGAACAATATGGATGTATGTCATCAAGGACGTTTTGATGTCGCTCTCAGGTTAGTGATTTCCATCTAGGGTTTTAGGGATCCCTGGCACCTGAAGTATGTGGCGACTGTTTTTTCTGTCAAAAATTATCATTGACATGTTTAAACAGTGCTCTGCGGTGATGCAGGCAGCAAATAAAATTCATACCCCACGTTTCTGTTGCAGCAATTAAGAGTAGGTATTACAAGTCGAGGAATAAGTAAAGCTCAGTGCAGCTTTAATTTTCGTACGCATTGAGTCCCTTTCATTTAGTTCAGAGACAAAAATACGTGTTAATCTGTGATTTCGTATCTTTTGTGTGCTTTTTGAAATTTGTTTATCTGACACTTGTTATAATGTATTTGTATGATATGGATTACAGAGTTTTGGACATGATCTTCTGCCATGATAGTATGAAACTGAAAGGAAATAATTTAATAGTCTGAATATAGTTGTGTGTTTTTAAGCAGTGACATGAATGGTAGATTACAATGACTTTGTGGCATAACATCTTTAAAGTCTGGATGTATTAGTAGTGCTTTAGCAAATATGACATTCTTTCAGCGTTGCTTTGAAGGCCACATTCATCATAATGTAGCACATTAAGTGAGAATATCAGACCAAATACCTGTACACAGGACAGCACAACACAGAAAAACGCGGACAAACATCCATGGCTTGAGTGGGATTCGAACCCACGGTCCCAGCGACCAAGCGGCACAAGGCCCACGCCTCAGACCGCGCGGCCACTGCGGACCCCTACAGTGTCATAAACTTGATTATTATTACTTTTTGGACACTGTCCAGGAAGTGATAATAATGTCATCAAAAACATTCAGATTTAGTGTCACGGTCTGTTTAACTAATAGCGGCTGCCCAGGTGGTCTCACCTGCAGCAGCGAAGGTAAGTGCTGGTAAAAGCTTCTGCTCAGAACTTGGACATCGGAATCATCACACACTCAGTGAAGTGTTGTGTTTTGATTACAGGCAAAACACCTCAGCTCTACCGACATGACTTACTAGCATTACAAAGCAAGCAGACACACAGGTTCTCACTTCATATGAACAAAATTCCAGAAAGACTAGTACCCCGCAAGTTTGCGCTCACCACCAAAGTCCCTGATACTAAAGGATGTACAAAATGCTGTGTTGGCAGAAATCCTTATAATGGTTACAAGTACCTCTGTGGGGCTATGGCATCTGGAATTTTCCTTATGCAGTGGTATGATCCTCTCAACAAATTTATGCTTTTAAAGGTGAGTAATTTCATTGATGTATCTTAGTACAGTCCCATCTGAATTTGGTGATGTTTGAAGTGTGTGTGAAGTAACAATCCCCAGCACTGGCGGGGAAATTTATTTGCATTTGTCAGATCCTTGAGTATTGGATGGCGATACATGTTGTCACAAGCGTACACCAGAGTAAGCCAGGAAAATTATGGTATTTCAACAGAACTCACAAGTGTGGCTTTCGACCAATACTGTTAGAGGTGGATGGAAACTTGGTGGGACTAGTTCTTATCCAAGTTTGGCAATGTCAGACTCTGCGACTTACATAGATTCCTGTAGCCATAGCTTGAAATGTATGGGTTCTCATTCAGCTGAGTGAGTTTTGTTATTCTCTTCATTATAAAGTTCTCTCTAATTAAGGTTGAACTGGCATATTTTCACTTGATATCTCATTTTTTACGTACTTATGAAAAATTTTAGCAGAATATGAAATGGTGTATATTGCAGAAATTCTGTCTAAAAAATTAAAGATTATGATGATTACACTTTGAATTTTGAAACTGTGTTTACAAAAGTGAGGTTTTGTAAATTTCTCTCCCTGTTATTTGCTACAGCATTTTGAGTGTATTCTGCCAACACCACTCTCAGTATTTGAGATGGTCATCACCCCTGAAATGGAGTATCCTATGGTGTGTGTCAGTGTAAAACAGGCTTATGAGCAAAATAGACTGAAGCTTGATCTCATTAACATGAATTCGGGTGCTAGTTGGTTTCATAGCGATGAACTGGAAGACATGGACGGAACAGGTATGTTGAACTGCTGTTGTTTTTTGTAGGCTTAAGGGTTTCTGTCTTGCCGTGGTTTTAATTAGAACATCTCTGAAATTCTTACTTTTCTCTACACCACAACAAGAGACCGGCTGCGGAGCCCACTCAGTAAGTAGTGGGAGTACTTTCCTCAGGGGCAAGGCAGCTGGGACATGAATCTAACCACTCATCCCCATCTGTTGCCAAGTTTAAGACAGTGTGGAGCAACATCTGTATAGTGTGGTGCTTAATTAAGCAGCAGAGGCAACTTTATCTTACTTTTTACTTATGTGCTATGGCTGATAGTCATCAGTAAATTATTTGCTGTTAATAAAAGATAATTTAATGCAGTGTATTTACTCGCACCATGTTTTTATTTCACAAAGACATCTTCAAGGCTGAACGCATATGCATTTAAAGATTAACGTAGATAGTTTAAACCTTTCCAAACACATTCTTAATGTGGACATGAATGTGACCCCGTTGGTGAAAATTCCACCGAAACACGTAATTTGAACATTTTTAATTTGTTTCTCTCTCTCTCTGTCTTTGTTGTCATCTGAAATGCATGTGTGAGGTTATGTTGTGTGCGCGCACATTTGTATGCATATGCTCTGTAATACAGTTTTGAATAAAGTCTGATGGTATATTCTATTTATTCATGTGTGGTACAGGCTTATTGATGGTGCTTGGAAAGTGTACTATGCTAAATGTGGTCTTCCATCTTACTTTTGATGTGTATAAATTAGTGGTTGCATCTGTTTTGTTTATGCATATTCAGTGACTTAAAGTACAGTAATTTTATTCTTTTACAGCTACAGTTGTACCTCGACGAGAATACATAAATGTCATTAATGTTTCACAACTGGAGAAAGACGCCATCTTAGTTTGCTATGACAGTAAGTTATACAATGTGTAATTCATATTTTTGAGTGAATGTTTTCTGCTGATATTCAAACTCTGTGGTGGACCACCAAATTGTGGTATCGAAAAAGCAAATGCTAGTATTGGTGATTGATTTGTGGGAAATTAATGATGTTGTTTTGAGACTGATACACAAAATTCCTGTAAAATTACATTAAAGTTGTGAATTGATTAATTAAATAAATATAATTCTTAAAATTCTATGCAGAATAGCAGCTAAAAATTAAGGTCCCCTCAAAATTTTATGTTTTTGAAGCTTTACTTCATGAATTACTAGTATTATAATAGGAATTAATTTAATTTGTGGGATCAAATTACATGACTTACTACAAAAGTTTCAGATTTGTGAAATTCCTGAGACACACAGGGTGTACTTAGGTGAAGCACGTTGTTAAATTTTATGACAGTGAAAATTATGTTACAGATCCTTTAATTTTGACACATTGCATATGGAAAAATTGGTGCTATAATATGAACACATTTTGAATATGTGGCCTCACATCACACATACATCATATCTTAAGAAATTCTAGACTGCTATGACAGTCTAAACCAGCAAAACAAACTTTATTTTAAAATCAAATGCCTGTCTGTTTTAAGTGCTCTTTAATTTCTGTTAAAATTAAATTTACAAGGGAATGTCTTGAAAAATTAATAATGAAATTTAAGTATAATGTTTTGCTGTAAAATATATCCTAATTAAGTACATCCAGCTGTGTAATATGTTTTAATAATATCAATGATAGTATTTAATTTTATTAATATTATTACTGTAAAATAGCTCATTGGTTCTTGTTTTTCAGATATGGTTAAAATTGTGACACTTCAAGGTAGACCAAAGTCTAACAGAAAACAGATACCACAACTAAACTTTGATTTTGCAGTGGAATCAATTGGTAAGTTAGACTGTTTTATGTTGTCATTGTAACAGCTTCGACTGGAGCCACCACATACATATTTGTAGATTTTACTTCTCTCGAGTCATGATTGTGTCTGGTTTCTTACATATTTGTAGATTTTATTTCTCTCGAGTCATGATTGTGTCTGGTTTTTCTTCAGCCAAGATGTATGGTCTTCGTGGTGAATTAATTTAGATTATGTGTATGAATCTAAATTTGTTTAGTATTGTGTTGAATATCCAGTTCAAAGTTTGAACAGACATTGCCTAATGCAGCTTAAAAATACGGTGGTGTGGCGTTGTTCTGGCCCAAATCAACGCAGCAGTTGATATGACCACCTTGGACTTCATTGGAACTTTGTAAGCCTATTCTGATGTGTAAATGATAAATACAAAGTTCTTCCTTTCATTGTCATTTAATTTCAGAAATTTTTATTTTGAAATTCTCTACATTCTGATTCGCTTAAATGCTTATAACTGTGGTCCTAATTAAGGTAGCACATACTTTCTTCCAATTGAATGCTCTTATGTGGGACTTTCATTTGGCATTGCTTTCATATTTTAGGGCACATTAACACTTTGACCTTGATATTAATAAAAAACATCCTGGCTTAATTAAGTTTTCCCAAATACATTTTGTGGTTCTCGAAATGCATTTTTGGAAAATTTAATGGTAGGTCATGAATGGGTTGAGAGATATTTTATAACCACAGCTTACACACACATTGTTATTGATCACTTTTATTAAAGATTACAGTAAGCCACACAGTTAATAAGGAAGGGGAGAACATAAACCTTGCAGACTCATTCATTAAAATATTAAAATTAATTTTTCATTTCAGTAAGAAATATTGTCTGTAAGAGTAGTTGTTCACAGTTTGCATAATCTGGTTTCTAGTTCCTCAGTGGTACAACTGGAACCCACAAAGTGTCTGGTGGTGAAGGACACGTGAATTATTTAGTAGGGCCAGGGGGATGCAAAAATGTTGGTTGAATTTTGCTGTCATTTGGCTGTAACACAGCTGCAAGCCACCACTCTCTGTATTATTTGCAAGTCGCATATCGTTTAATGTCTTCCAGTAGATGCCCTTCATTTTGCAAATATGCTGTTTGCGTGGTGTTGAATGCATCTGTTTCCAAAAAAATTTGTTGTCTTCTGAATTTGGTTTTTTGAGGCAGGATGACGCAGAGGTGTTGGAGCTTTAGTCAAATATTTAAGTTTACCACAAAGAAAGCCGCACAGTCTCCTTTTAAACAAATGCGCAAGTTCAGTCTCAAGTTTAAACAATCTGATATAACGGCAAAACTGACGTTCTTTGTCGTTTTGTTCTGTGAATAGTAAGAGTAGTCCATAGTTTTTTTATGTGTTTCTTAAATCTTCGGCAGACAATATTAGATTAGTCAGTCACTCTCAATAAACAGTTGTTTGCAAATCTGTGCAATTTAACGTGTAACAAAATAATCTGACCATCTTCCACTTTACCATAACAAATAGCCTATCAGACCCTGATGCCCTGTGTCATATGATCAGTAACATTGCTGCAGATGATAACTAAATTAATACCTTTGAAGCTGAGAGCAATAAACGTAAGTAATGAAACTATCCCGAAGTTTCAAGTTCTTCTGAAGAGTGAGACATGAGAAACTGTTTATAAAGACAGTGATGCCAACACTAAGTTTAAATAATTTTTGTTCTTTTTTAAATATATTTGTAGTTGGTAAATGTTCCGGAATGTTTTCAGTCTGCCTGCCCGATAGTGTATTGGCGTTTCACAAGCATGGAATGCAGGGTCGCAGTTTTAAGAATGGAGAAGTAACGCAAGAAATCGTGGACCAGAGCAGAGTTTACAGGTTGCTCGGTTCAGATAAGTAAGTTGAAAGTGCATTTTATTAATTGCCTTGACAAGATTATGAAATATATAATGTAACATTTGGTGTGACTTTTACTGAAAAGTCAAGTTTTTTGTAATTTCAGCTAAAGGAGTGAGTCAATGTTATGATTCCTGAGTAGGAGTCGTGAGTCACGGCTTGTGTAGCGTCACACTCTGCTGTTAAGATACTCAGTTCGGTTGTCATGGATTTAAGAACCTTGCGCTGCTGCTATGTAACAGAAGAGTCTTTAGCCCTAAGGCGATTTAAGTGTGGTTGCAGAGCTGTCTTTCAAATTTGAGGTTGAGTGCATTATGTGTTATGTGCTTTCTTTATGTAGGATTGTAGTTCTGGAAAGTCACCTCTGTCAGGAAGTAACCAGAGGAGGCACACTGAGTGAAGAGGGTGCAGACCTCTATATCCTTGCAGGGCATGAGGCAAGCTACTGAATATGCTGCAAGGATGGTTGCCAGTGCCGCGTATTTTTAGTTGTGTCCTACTGGCTGTGTATGAAGTGCGCTACGGACAAAGGTTTGTTGGGAACACGAGCGTTTGGACCAGTAACATGGTAACTGGTACATGCAGCATACTCAAGGTCGGATTAACGTGAAACTGGAACACAGCATCAGAATATCATGCTAATTCTTATTTATTTCACTAGAACTATGTCACAGTTTGAGATATGAAGGATTTCCATTTTAGTGTGTTATTCAGTGTCACATCCTCGTAAGAAGACATTATTTATTTGTTTCTTTGTGTTACGTGTGGGAATTCCCGAGACTGCTATTAGAATGTGAGTTTGGAAGTGTGAGTGTGTGTCTGTGAGTGGCGTGAGAGTAATTACCAATTTACCCAACAGTGCAATAGATACGGTGATACATTGATGACCTGAGATTAGATAGGATGCTGCCAAAATTTCTGTTATTTTCTGTATAATAAGAAAATTAAACGTTTGTCATCATATTGCATGCTCTTGTAATAGCTCTGCTTTTAGCCCAATTTTGCTCAAAGAATGTTATATCAAAACGTTTGCGTAAGAAAATGCTTCCACTATCCGGTACTGGTACAGAAAAATACTCATCATGTCTGCCGAGTAGTTAAAACTTGTTTGTGCTTGTAAGATTTGAGGTTTTCACAGCGGTGAGTATGAAGATTTCTGTCTTCTGGGTTGTTGCGCTGTGTAGTCTGGTCGATGTTAACCAACGTTTCAGAGGTCATACTGGGCCTGATGACGGTTGCAGTATGACCTCTGAAACGTTGGTTAACATCGACCAGACTACACAGCGCAACAACCCAGAAGACAGAAATCCTCTTGTTTGTGCTTTATTGCAGGAGATGTATTATTACCACTTCTTTAATATGATCCTTTATTGGAAGATAGACTGTTATCTGAATACAGGGTGTCCTGAAATGGTGTATTAACATTACAATAAGGAATCCTTTTATGATTTGCTGCATATTACTCTACTCCCCCAGAAAGAATAAATTATATTTTAAATCATGTCTGGCAATGCCATCAGTGTTCTCTGACCACAGTTCTGAAGTTAGTGAATAGGAGATACGAAATTTCATCTTACATGATCAAAAAGTCACACAACCCATCCTGACATGTTCTGTTTGTCAAAAAATAAATTTCATTGAAATCAGAAAACAAAAACAATGTCGTATTAAGTGCTGGAAATGTGTCCATTGCATTCAGTGATGTATTTGTTCACTGTTTTCCTCGTTTCATGTGTCCCTGAACTCATTCTGGCAAGTTTAGTGAGAACGAGATTCCAGGCAGTGTTTGACGATGAACATTCACTGCACTTGTGAAAAAGACATCATTGCAGTTCGACTGTTTGAAGACAGTTGATGGACTGGTGAGAACAGGTCACAGCATGACGTGACCTGCGTGGGCTCTTGTATGGTTGCAGCAATATTGTGTGTCTATGAATCCAGTTGCAACAATCCATAAATATTTTAATGTGGGTTGGCGTAACTTTTTCATCGCCTTGTAGTTTGAAAGGTAGTGTCTACGCAATAAATTAGAAGTCATGATTATTTTGTGACATGTTTCCAATTTCC